CGACATGCTATCCTTATAAAGCAGGTTGTCTCATAAAGCAAAGGTTTCTCCCTGAAGCAAACTTGTTTCCACGTATAGGGTCGTGTTTGCAATTAGCCACTAGCCAGCGATGCGCTGGATGGCCCTGAAGTATTGTATCGACCAAGAAACCTTCTGTTATCGAGCCAAGACCTCGTCAAAACGAAGTCGACTGAGACTTTGAGAGTTCAAGTTGCTGTGCCACATTCCGACCACGTGGGTCTGATATGCCGACTTGGCCTGCAGAGTGTGCCTGCACATCCATGCAAGTTGTAACCATGTCTTCAAGCCCCCCCCACCGATGAGAAATAAGTTCCAGAAGTTCTCAGCGCCATCCCGCTTTTCAGGTGAGCGTGTGTGCTCGAGCGCAAAGCGGCACAGCAAGAAACAATCGTTCGTGACTTGAATTTCTGAAGAATACGCTTCAAGTCTCTAACCCCAAACCCCCCCGGAACCGTATCCGTACCCAGCCGGCCAGCCTTCTCGGGCATATGCGGAGACGAGAAATTTTGGCTTTGGGACGTCCGCGGGAACTGGAGAATGATCAGGAGAGGGAGGCGATCCGGGCACGAGGGAACCACTTGAAAAAGGAGGAAAGGGTCCTCTTCGTGACTCGGGCACGCTGACATCGACAATTTTCCATTGTTCCACGCCCTACGGAAGATTTTTTTCGGATCCGAACTTCCCTCTTGCCAAGGAACCAAACCAAGGGAGCAGCCACAGTCTTAGCTCCCAGTTACCACACACACCTTTCGGAGGAAGAAAAAAAACGTTGATCGGGACGGGACGTGAATGTCTGTGCTGTCCTGCCGCTGGCGTCGTGGTGGCTGACTGTTTGTTTTGCTGCCCGCGCGTATGAGGCACTTTAATGCCGATTTTGCACAACGGCCGCCAATCCATTTTCAATAGTGTTTCCTAGCACCGTTGATCTCAACTACTAGATGGACTGTTATGTCATGAGAACGTCCCAATAACGTTGATCCTATGACAGCACATGATCCAACTAAGCTGCACTGGAGTTTGGATGAACGTTGTGGTTCAACCACACCACTGTCTCATTCTTGAGTTCGTGAGACCCGAGGGGTGGGAGACCCTTGGAAGAGATTCTTGGGGCGCACCTAGTAGTATTTGCAGACAATGTCGCAATCAGCCAAAGCTTCGCAACTCGCACCCTGTTCTCCGATCGAGCATGAACCACTTATCAAGATATTTATCAGACGTTACAGCGGCGGCCCAATTCCATGGACAGTTTGACCCAGCCCCTTGTTCTTCTATACGTTGCCTCGTACGATGCGGTTGCTACCGAATCTTGGAGGAACCGAGGAACTTCATCTCATCGGCGTTTGGCGAGTTCAGGTTAGACCGCCGCGAGGCCCCTGCAGTTGGCCCGCCCTTGGAAGTCTGAAGGATGCATGGGTCTGCTTGATCGATCCTCTTTTCTTACCAAGGATCTGGTGGCGAGCCCCCAATCGGGCCGGGGTTCGATAGACTTTGCTGAAGAACCCCCGCAGCTTCAATTTCCGGCCCAGGTTGCGCCCGACTATTGAAGATTCCTCAAAAACGCCGAGGAGAAGTCCGGGATATTGTCCAGTCCAGTAACCACCAGTTGGTTCAGAGGTTGGTTAGTAACCAGCAACCAGACGTTACGAGATTCCGAACCGAACCGCACCAACGACAGGCCGGCCCTGGATATGAGCATCGACAGCATCGTCATTCTTGCGTCGATGGTAGCACCATCTCAACAGCCGGTTTCTCCCCATCGTCTCAGAGTATAAGCGAACTGCACTCTGCAAGGAACGATGCGTGATTCTGCAGCGATTTGGAGTTGTTAGACGAGGGATTCGTCAGGGTTGCTGCCGGGAGCACTGCACCCTTTGATCTGCGAGCCACACTCGAGTCCCCGCTGAACAAGACTTTGGAAGAGCGAACAACCTGACCGCGTGGAGCCCGGCCGTGCAAGCCTGACCCGGCCTTGGCTAGGTATTGGAAGGCAGCGGACCACGGAACCCTCGTGGCCCGGATCTTCATCGCCTTGCGAAGTCGTGGGAGCCGGGATCGTGAGAGAGAGCAGGCCGCCAGAAGCGACAACGAGAAAGTCGAATGGAGCTTCAAGCGGAGATAGGTATCAGGATGTCCGGCGTCGACTGTCGAGTCTCGCACTCCGGTCTCCAGTCTCCAGAATCGCTGACCGTCCTGGCCACTAGTGGCCGATAGACCGAGGCACCCGGCATCCCTGGTGTCCGGCCGATATCTAGGACGATATCGACCTCGTCTCCCGCTCCACAGCCCGCAGCGCTTTACCGCCCCTGGCCAAGGATGGCAGGGGAAGAAGAGGGAACCAGCCACAAACGGCACTGCATGAGAATCGACCCTAGGGCTTCTTCCCGATATTGTTCCCTTCTCGAATGATAGCAACACGGATTCATCAGCAACAGGTAACAAGTGCGGCAAACTTCCACTAGTTTGAGGGGGCGAAGTCCGCCTTCTATAGGACCCCAAATCTCGGTCGAAACCCCAGTCGGGAAGCGTCCTCCCTGTCGAGATGGACTCTCCAAACCCCCATGCCGTGGTCCCGGAGGTCGGGTAGGACACTTCCTGCAGCATACTAAAAGTAATGCCCATGGCCACCGGTAGGAAAAACTTTCTTTTGATGAAATGGTCCAGCGGCATTTCCCTCTCTTTTCCTCTGCCCCCTCCCCCCGCCCTCTCTCCCTCCAGCCGTCGATCTTTGTCTCACATTGCGCTGCCATTGCCTTTGCCCTTTCAAACCAGGTCAAAGTAAAGTAGTCCAAGATGAAGAGCTTTGTCCTCCAAGCGGCCCTCGCCGGTGCGGCCCTCGCTGCTCCGAACCACCGAATCGGCACCGCCTTCACTGAGCGCGCCGCCGGTGACTGCAAGTGTTTCCCCGGCGATGCTTGCTGGCCTGCCACGGCGCAGTGGGATGCCCTCAACACCACTGTTGGCGGCAACCTGATCGCGACTGTCCCTCTTGGCGCGCCATGCCACGACCCCGTCTACGATGCGGCCACCTGCGCTACTCTGCAGAGTGAATGGCAGGATGCGGAGATCCAGTGAGTGCCGATCCCAACTTCATGATATTGACGACATCAAGTGACTAACCATGATGTAGCATGGGATCCTCTTCCTCCATTATGGCTCCCTTCTTCGCCAACCAGAGCTGTGACCCCTTCCAACCGCAGTCTCGTGCTTGTACTCTGGGCAATTACGTCGTCTACGCCGTTGACGCCAAGACCCCCGAGCACATCGCAGCTACCATCTCCTTCGCCGCTAAGAACAACATTCGTTTCATTATCCGTAACACCGGCCATGACTACCTTGGTCGCTCCACCGGAGCCGGAGCCCTCTCCGTCTGGACTCACCACCTGACCAGCACCGAGGTTGTTGACTGGAACACCGCCTCCTACACCGGCAAGGCCATGAAGGTCGGTGCCGGTACGCAGGGCTTCGACGTCATGGAGGCTGCCCACAACGCCGGCCTTGCTGTTGTTGGCGGCGAGTGCCCTACCGTCGGTATTGCTGGAGGTTACACACAGGGTGGTGGCCACAGTGCTCTGTCCACTTCCTTCGGTCTCAGCGCCGACAACGTCCTGGAGTGGCAGGTTGTCATCGCCAACGGTACTCTCCTGACTGCTTCTCAGACCCAGAATGCTGATCTCTACTGGGCTCTCTCCGGCGGTGGCCCCGGTAACTGGGGTGTTGTCACCTCCATGACCGTCAAGGCTCACGCCGATGCCAGGTTCGGTGGTGCTACTCTCGTCATGATGGCTGCCGACAACGACAACACTGCATTCTTCAACGCCATCGATGCTTTCCACGAGGAGCTTGCCGGTATGGTCGACGGCGGCTCCATGGTCGTCTACTACTTGGCCGCCGGTTTCTTCCAGATCGCCCCCCTCAACGCGTACAACAAGACCGCCGCTGAGGTCAAGACCCTGCTCGCCCCCTTCGTCGCCCGTCTCGACGCTCTCAAGATGAACTACACCACTACCTACACCGAGTACGAGAGCTACTACAACCACTACGACAAGTACTTCGGCCCTCTGCCCATCGGTAACATTCAGGTCGGCATTGCCCAGTACGGCGGCCGCCTCATCCCCCGCGACAACATCACCAACATCGGCTCTTTCTCTCGCAGCGTCGCCGAGAAGGGCGTCACCTTCATCGGCGTCGGAACCGACGTTGGCAAGTTTGGCAACAAGGAGACCAACTCCGTTACCCCCGCCTGGCGCAACGCCCTCGTCCACGCCACCCTGACCACAGTTTGGAACTTCACCGCCCCCTGGGAGGAGATGATTGCCAACCAGAACCTCATGACCAACGTCATCATGAAGGAGATTGAGGCTCTCACCCCCACTGGTGGTGCGTACATGAACGAGGCCGACTTCCAGCAGCCCAACTTCCAGACCGAATTCTTCGGCAGCAACTACAAGTCCCTCTTGTGCCTGAAGCAGAAGTGGGACCCCGAAGGATTCTTCTACGTTCGCAACGCCGTTGGCAGCGAGTCGTGGAGCGTTGCTGATAATGGAAGAATGTGCCGTGTTTGAGTCCCAGAAATACCCATAGTAATTGAATAAAACTTTCGCTTTTTTGTCAATGTCTTGCCTGAATCTCATCGGTGATCATACGCAATAATCGGCCAAACCTGACGTGTGAGTTAACTGCACTCAGTTTGAAGTACCATGCTTGAAATTGGTTGCGTTCAGATAGCCAAGATACTATCGCCTAGCCATAGACACACCAAATGTGCAGTGATTGACATAGGTGAGACTCATGTCACCAAATCTTGGGACGCCTATCTTCTGTAGGGTGTGCGGAAAGCTTTTGGTTATATACTAGCACGATAATATCGATCTATCTACAGAGAAGGGTACATATGTTCGGGTCTGTCCTTTTGATGCCTCGAGGACCTCCAGCGGACCAGATTCATTTAAGAAATAGGCTAGCAAGAGCCCCTCTCAAGCTTAGAAGAGCTCAAAAGCGAATGCGGTGGAGTTGGTAGGTGGCTCGACCAGGATAGTAAGCTGTAGGACGAGAAATTAGCATTACTATCAAAGCATGAAGGTTGTCAATGTGGGATAAGGATAACTTACGCTGTCAGAAGCGGACGAAATGCTGGTAACACCCAAGTCAACCGGTCCTCCAACCTCAGCCTTGGTGCCAGCCCAGTCGAAACGCAGGGTGCGGACTTGGACGGAACCGTCGCTGGGAAGACCGAGCCTGCTGAGTCCAGAGACCTTGATCTCGTAGTTCTTCTGAACGGTCCTGGTTCCTGCGAGGATCTTGACGCTGTTGTTTTCAACGGTGGCAAAGACATCAAACGTCCGGTCAGCTGAGGCGGTGGTAGCGACGCGCTCGCCGGTCATCTGGGCGTAGTACTTATACACCTGCCACTCTCCGTTGGGCTTGTAGGCTCCGCTGGCATCCTTGAAGAGCAAGTCGGCCATCCAGTTGTGCAGGTCGGAACCGCCGCCCCAGTTGGCGCGGAGACCGCGGAGGTTGTGGCGTTCAAGTTGGGCGAGGTAGAAGACGCCGTTGGCAGGGTTCTGCTCGGATGGCCAGGCGTACTCGTTCAAGTCAATTGGGCGGTCTGGGAGGTTGTAGGTGCTTTGGAGAGACTTGAAGTCGGCAACGGTTCTGTCGGGCTCACGCTGCCATTCACCAATTTGATGCCAGGAGTAGATGTCGGGAATGGCGTCATTGGCTGCCACCTTGGACATCCAAGCCTTCCAGTTATCCAAGTCAACGGCTGGGGCGTTGGCGGCTGATGGTCCGCTGATCAAAGTGCCCGGAAGTTCAGCCCTGAAGTTATGTTAGTTGACATCGAGGTGATGAGTTTTGAGAGATTATCTAACCTAATGATCTTGTGAGCCCTGACATAGTACTCCAAGTACTGATCCCAAGATCGAGCCCAGAAGATGTCAAGATCAGGCTCATTCCAGATATCAAAGACAAGGCCGTCGAGCATGTTATTAGACTTGATGTCATCAACAAGATGGTGGAGGAAAAGCTCAGTCTCTGTCCAGTTGCCATTGTCACCGGGGAAGATTGAGCCTCCTGCTTGGCCGCCGTCGGCACCCCAGAGGTCGTGGGGCAATAGGATGAAGTCAGCTCCGTACTTGCGCGTGGTCCGGTAGTTGGAGAGGGCCGAGTCGAAGCGCTGCTGGTATCCATCGATGCCGCCGATTCAACCGGGAGCTAGGATCTGGGCACCCCCGGCACGGCTGGCGTGGAACTTGATGTCGGTAACGAAGTGGTCGGGGATGGAGGTATCAATCTCTCTTCCGTTATCGGGGAACCCGTAGATGAAGCCGGAACCGAGGAACCTAGCCGGACCACTGGGATTCGCGATATCGACAGTTGCTTCGCCAGCGGGCGATTGTCTTACTGCCAGACCAGTGACATGGCCAGCTGTAAGAGCTGCAATGGCAGAGAAAGCCTTGAGAAAAGACATGTCGATGAAGGAATGGTTGAATGATGTCGTGTCAAGGTGAATTGGCTGATGATTGCATGCTTTCAATCATCTTTTCATCTACGAAACTTCCTACTATTATACACACATCGCGATGCCTCGTCGCGATAAAAAGTTATTGTGAGTATGAGCCACCCCACCGGAGTAAACATCTCGACAGATGTTTGCGCAAGGCAGATCGGCGCATGTTGAGCGACGTTTGGCGCTATCCTCCAATTCCCCGCATGCCAAGGTGAAGCTGCAAGAGCTCATTCACAATTCGCGGGGAAGAGGCTAAGAGCGGTTGAGAACATCCATTATCAGCACGACGTTGATCCTCCTCCACCGGGAATTGCGACACTTCTGCGGGGTTCACCATAGGATCACAAACGGGGAAAAAAGCCCAGCCCGGAAGACGCGTCGCGTCTGCGACCTTATCCTTACTTGCCGCCATCGTGAATGCAGATCATCATTTACCGCAGCCATGCGAGATGATTACGGAGCTTCACATTTGGAACCCGATGCTAGGGTATTCAAGTCCATGAAAAGCATCAGGTGGTAAATTGCATCTAGAACCCCAATCTAGCTAATGGGTCAACTTACATCACTAGTACCAGGTGCCTTAGATGGATTGAGTACTTGTTGTACGAAGGAAAGGAATTGAAGTGATAACACGATATGGCGACGGTACTAAACCCTAGAAACAAGAAAGAAGGAACTTAGGCTCTTGATCATAACGAAGTATTTAAGGCATGAGTCATTACTTGAGTGTTCTCGATATGGCAAAACAAGTTGACTTTTAGCTGCATTACTAAGTAGTGATTGATTCAGTAGTTTATATAGGATGGTATTCTCAAGTAAAGTCGTGATAGTAACAACATCTATCTATTAGGTCCGACTGCGAAAGTAAAGATTCTTAACGAAGGTATGATTCCAAATGCCCTACTCTGGAAGGGCGGAATTAGTGGCGTGGACGAGAACTCAGCCTTCTTTGGCCAGGACTTCGTCGCCACTGGCATAAGCATCGACCCTGTAAGATGCGAACTTGGATGCCTTGACGCGCCTTGCAAAGAGAATGTCTAATTCCTCAAAGGTCTTGTCCTTCGTCTCAGGGAGACGGAAGAAAGTCCAAATGAAGAAGACAAAAGCGCAACCTCCCCAAAAGAATCCCGTCTTTCCTCTCCAGTCACCGGCCGTTGGGTTGAGCATGTAAGGGTTGATGACATTACAGACAATCTGAGCAATGTAATAGGCAATGCGGCTGAGGCAAACACTCTTGTTGCGGAGACGAGTCGAGGAAACCTCGGAGATGATGGCATAACAGATAGGTCCCACGGTGAGATAGTAGACACCGAGCCAACCCAGCATCATGCCAGCCTGAGCGTAGTTCGCACCATCCGAGTTAGGAGCGCCGGCGCTGATGGCACCGACGACGAGAAGGATCAGAGCCAATGCTCCAAGACCCCATAAATATAGCGTGCGACGACCAAAGCGACCAAGAAGTCCCCATGATACGATGGTACCGACAGAGGCAATCCCGAGGCCACCGACTGACATACGAAACGAGATCGACTCTGGCAAGCCGGCTTGGACGAAGAAGTAGGTGGGAGTTCCTCCCATAGCGGAGCCGCAGAAAGGCTGTGCAGCAAATGCCATGCAGGCGATCTCGGTTCTCCGGAGGTCAACGCCGCGGAAGCAATCGAGATACGAGGTTCCTTCGTCCATCTGCTGCTCAATCTCGTTGGTATGAATCATCATGGCAACCTTCTGCTTCGAATTGACGGCTTCGGACGCGGATCCGAGACGGAGGACGGACTTCTCGGCTTGCTCGTAATCGCCGAGGCGGACGAAATGCCAAGGAGACTCGGGCGCGAACCACAAGACGGCGAAAAGCGGAAGCGGCCAGACCCATTGAATCGCAAATGGCACGCGGTACGACCACTGGTTGCTACCATCGGAGAACCCTGCTTGAACACCGGCTGAAATCAGCTGGCCGAGGGCCCAGCAGAGGTTGACGAAGACGGTGAGGTAGCCGCGCAGTGCCATCGGGCAGACTTCGGAGGCGTAAGCTGGAGCGGTTGTCGCGAAGACGCCCCAGGGGATACCGCAGAGGAATTGGCCGACGAGGAGGACGGGGAGGTTCGGCGAGAAGAAGGAGATGAAGATAGAGGCGACGATGCTAGCCAGGGACGCGAGAAGAACCTTTCGGTACCCGAAGCGATGGGTGAAGTATCCATTTGCGAAAGCGCCGATGATTGTACCGACACTGACCGCATTGCTCAACCCATTCTGCCAGGATGCCGTGATCTCGTACGTGCCCTTGCTGGGGAGATACTCGCCGTAGTGTCGTTTGAAAGCGGGCTGAGCAAAGAAGGACGAGATGAGGACGATGTCGTAGCCTTCCATGATGATGGCGGCGGAGACGAGGACAGACCACATGGCAGCCTTGGGATAGCGGCGGATAGCCTCCATGAAGCCAAGCTTGTGCTCGTCGTCTGCGGCCTGCTTGGCCATGGCCAGGTCTTTGATAGCATAGTCTCCGGTGGGAGCATGCTCAAGCTGACCGATCTCAAGCGGCTCTTCTTTGGTGGTGCCCATTGTGGCGGCTGATGAATGACTTGGTTCTGAAACTGAAGGTAAATGGCACACAACGAGAGTTGGTGATAGCTTCGAACCTTCAGCAACGTGTTACAGTGCAAGTATCAGTGTCGTCGTGAAGATGATCGACAAGCGAGGTTCGGAGATGGTGGAGAATCTAGACATGATATAGAGACGCATGTAACGCCAGCAGGATATTGTTTCCGGTCACTGTCAGCTTCGTAGGGACGGTATCCCACAGCGTGGAATACACATTGTCCCCGCATGTTGTCAGTCGAAGATCCGGGGTAACATGCGGAGAGAGAGTTTGTGGTCATTAGCCTTCCCGGCACAAAGGGGACGTCGTGCCATCTGATGGCTTGTTTAGGTAATTGTCTTTGCCATTTATGGCATGATGTCTCCACCCCCGCCGGAGTTTCCAAACTTCTCACTAGAATAACCACCCGATCCATGGCTATACCGGGCTGACGACTCCGGTGGAGAGTCCATCGCCTGCTCCCGAGAAAGGATAGCCTAGTCCGAGGTGGACTGAACAAGCGAGTCCAGGAGATCGGCGTATGTTCGTTCCACTCCCCAGACCGAGTATCCCCTGCCATTCTCGCTTGTACCTCCGCTCCCGACGCTACTTGCTGCGTCTCCGTTCTGCTCCGGTCTCCCCTTGAGCATCTGCATCCCTTCTCTGAGAATCTTCCGAGGGGCCCCATCATTGCAGATATCACCCACCTTGGCCATGTGGCCCGCCATCTTATGGCCTAGCCTCACATAAGTCTGCACCATCTCGTCGTCACATGGCCGGTCGAGGTGGAGGAAGCTGGGCTCCGGGTCCTCTTCAACTTCCGCCACTGCCTCCATCGGGCTATCTTGCTGGCCAGGGCCGTCACTGGCCAAGTGAGACCTCGGGTTCTGGTGCCGCCTCATGAACAGCATCATTGTACTGTACGCCCAAACCACCAATGTTGCTGCGAATATGCCAAAGGGCTCGAGAAAGTTGCCCACACTATAACGACGGATGTGCCAAAGCATCGCCCCGGCATGAACGACCGATAGTCTGGCTTTGTACTGATCACGCAGAGCCCACTGGGCGACGAGAGATCTCGCCTTTTCGACTTTGGAATTGTCGACGTCGCGGGAGGATGCTCGCGCCGAGGCGGCAGCAGCTAGTGTCTGTAAGTGAGTTATCGGAGCGAGAAGGACGAGGCGAGAGAGGTGGAGATGTAAGATGATGGGATGCTCCCATCCACCGGCTTTGGCGATAATAGCGTTAGCGTTCCAGTGGAGGAGGTCGAGAGAGTCGCAGGCGCTGTTCCGCCACCTTGATAGGATAGGCAGCGAGGGGGGCCAAGTCTCTTCGACGGTATCGCCAGGACCACACTTCTGGACGTCAGCTGTCGGCGTCCATGAATTGAGCCTGATCTGGTTGTGGTAGATAGCCTCCTTGGTACGCCTGATGATAGCGTACGTGAGCACCATGGTGCTAAAGTCACCCAGGTTCGGTGGCAGCCTCTTCTCCATGTAAAGCATTTCCATGGCCTCAGGTATAGTCACTAGGGGACCCTCAATGTGTGAGCCTAAATGGTGCCCTGTTGATTTTGGTGGGTAGAGTTACACACCTGGCTTAGATTGCTGCTGTCCCGGTTTCTTAGCAGTAGGTTGGTCCCAGATAGAATCAAGACAGGGCATCTGGCCTTTTGCATCGCCTAGCTTGAGCAATACATCTTGGCCTCTCTCTAGGAATACAATAACATCGAGGATCTAGAGCACGGATGCCACGTCAGTCTATGGGCTCTGTGAAGCAAAGTTGGCGGCTTGCACGTACCCATATCATGAGACCCGTTCTCAGTCTGGACTCACGGTCCAACCAACTCCTATGAGCACTTGATCCATCCGCGTGTTGCGCTACCTGTGGCAAGTCTTCTCGTATACCTAGTAAGTCCATCTTCCGACAGGCATTGATCAAGAAGTGCCGTACTAGGAATGCCAAATCGTAGCGATCGCCGCGGACACCGTTGTGCAGGTCGTATATCAACCAGAGGATAGACATTTGAGCGATGACTAGACCCATTGAATCTTCCCCGGGGCTTATCAGTGACACTTGAGAAGATCCTACCACATCATCTAGGGCACCCGTTGAAATGTAAAATCGCACAGCGCTTTCCAAAAATTGAAGAAACAGGTTTCTGAAGCCGAGATTGATCTCGCCTCTGGAGTAGACCGAGCCAATTGTACAGACGGCCAACAAAAGAAGCCAATTCGCCGGCTCATGGTAGAAGTCGGTTGGTTTCTGCAGGAAGTTATAAGCGGGGTGGAAATGTTGAAAGTACAATCGGAAATAAACTCGAGCGTGAGCTATGGATGGAAGCGGTGTCGCGCTGCGGCCTTGAAGAAAAGGTTCGACGCTGATGTGT